ATTATTTTCTTCATTTGTTCAAGTATATTTTGCCTGCTTTAACTTTTAGAATATAAACTTTTAAAATATGCTCATCTGACTTGTACTGTGTGTTTTGTGCTCCCTATCATTTAGCACAGATCTTATAAATGAAAAGTGGTCATTAAATAAATAAGTTTGAGGATAAACACAACTGATGGTGTGAGATCTCTGAGATGGTGGGGCTGGAGATGATTTAGAGCACCTCTGAGGCAATAGACCATTGACGTTATGACAGGATGGATGGAGGCAAGGGAAGAAAGATACAAGTAACTTTTATAGATGTAGATGTTGAGAAAATTCCTGCCTTATTTTTGTAAGAAAATGGGAAGAACAGTCATGTGCAAACCAAAAATACAAGAATTGGAGTAATCAATTATATTTCTTTTTTAGAAATGAGTAGTTTCCTAGAATCTTGGATGATCATATAGGCCTGTTTCAGACAAACACATGAGGACCTATTGGATATCTTATTACCTTATTAAAAGCACTTTCATATGGAAAGTTAGCATGAGACTGAAAATACTGTTATGCAAATAATATTTTGTCTCATGAGTTTAAAAATCATATTTAATTTATTAAATAAGCAATGTATTCATATGATAAAAACATCACAAAGTATAAACAGTGTATAGTTGAAGCTCTCTCCCACCTCAACACTTATCCACTCTTTCCTTCCCTGTTACCAGGTAACCACTGATATTAGTTTATTGTTTATTCTTCCAGAGCTCATTCATATATATGCGTGTGTGGGGGTATGTATATAACTATGTATATATATGAATAAAGACATGTATTTTCTTCCTCTATTTTACATCATCATATTTAATCATTATATATTATTTATTATTGTATCTATATTATTTTTATTTATATTATTTACACTCTTCTGGGTCTTATTTTTACTTACAAGCAAATCTTATAGATCTTTTCATACCACTACATAAAAAATTCCCTTATTCTTTTTTATAGCTGTGTAATATTCCATTGTATTGCTATATATAAGTTTTTTATCAGCATTTTATTATGAAAATTTCAAACATATGACAAAATTGAAATAATTTCACTATGAACACCATATACCCTCCATTTAAATTCTGCCATTAACATTTTACTGTGCTTGCTTTATCACTTCTTTCTATCCTTCTGTCCATCAATTGGTCTATCTTATTTTTTGATATAGTTTAGAGTAAATTGCAGACATTGATACACTTTGCCCTGAGTACTTCACAGCATATGATTATTAATCAAAGTTTAATACTTGTTAAAGGACTTTTTAATATTAATTTACATACAATGAAATGCACACATTGTAAATGTACATTTGCTGAGTTTTAACAAATGCTTGGACCTAAATAATTCAAACCTCTGTCAAGATATAGAACACTACTGTCACTCTTAAAAGTTTCATGCCCTTCCCGTCAGTCTCTGCCCTTAGCCTCCCAGAAGCAGATTTTTCTGAATATTTTTCTGTCTTAGATTAACTTTCCCTGTTTTAAATTATCATATAAACAGACCCTAATAGTTTATACTGCTTTGTGTCTGGCTTCTTTCACTCAGCATAATGATTTTTGAGATTCATCTGTATTGTGATCATTAATAGTTTGTTTCTTTTGAAAAAATTATTTGCCATATTTAAAATTTACTTCATTTGATATTCAAATAGTCACTCCTACTTTCTTTTGCTCAACATTAGCCTAATATATCTTTATCCTTTTTTTCCCTCTTAATCTATTTGTGTCTTTATATTTAATGTGTGTTTCTTGTAGGCAGCATATTGTTGGGTTTGCTTTTTTAATCCACTCATAACAACCTTTAACTGATATGTTTAGACCATTTACATTTAATATGATTATTAATATGGTTGGGTTTACATATACTATTTTGCGATTTGTTTTCTGTTTTTCTCATCTATCTTCCCTTTTTCCCTTCTATGTCGCATTATTTTGGATTGAGTATTTTTTATGATCTTGCTTTATCTCTATTGTATCTTCAAGTGATTTATTATACTTTACATATAGTGTAAGAACATTACAACAATACATGAGGTGCTTCAAAAGTTTGTGGAAAAAAAGAATTAAAAGAGAGTACAAATCTTTCCATGAACTTTTTGAAGTACCCTCCTACTTATATTTGTTTTCTCAGTCTTTGTGTTATTGTGTCTGGGTTTTTCTTTTAACTTATGCTATAAATCCCATAATACATCATAGTCATTTATCCTTTAAAGAGATTTAAATAATAGGAGAAAAAATCTCTTATATCACCCATGTACTTACCATTTGCAGTGCTCTTCATCCTTTTGTGAAGAGCAGATTTCCATCTGGTATCATTTTTCTTCTGCATGAATGACATCCTTTAAGGTTTCTTATAGTACAGGGCTGATCTGTTGCTCATTTGGGAGAATGTGGTGCTGATAACAGCAAGGCCATAGGTTCGGATCCCTATATAGGGATGGCTGGTTAGCTCACTTGGGAGAGC